TGAAATAGGTGGCATTTTCCTTATCCACCCTCGTCTCATAAACATCTCTAAATCTAATCATAACTAAGCAAAATAAGACTCAAAGATAGGTTTATATAATGATGTAGTTAATAATGTCAATGACGTTGTTGAGATTTAACCCGACTATAAAAATTAAAATTAAAATTTTAAAACGAAATTTGGAAGAAAATATTATTCCATATAGTCGGGTTAAAAAAAAAAAATGTGTGGAGAAATTAAAAGGAAGTTGATGAGTCTTTTAATAAAGGCAAGTAAGGTTTAGTCATATGACAAGTCCATCCAAGTACCTATGGCGTCAAGTTTGGTACTCAAATAAAGGTTTGAAAAATACTTTGGCAGAGTTTGAATTTATAGGATCTACTCCGTCTCTTCTATCCTTTATCCGATCGAATAATTTTCAGATGGTTTGTAGAAGCGTGTGTGTTAAGGTTTAATGGAAACAATATTTACCCTAAAACATAGAGCCATTTAAGTTTCTGAGAGATCGACTATCCACGTACTTTCTACGTAAATATGATATTAACAACTTAAGTTTTGGTTTCATTCAAAAAAATCTCTTATCGATGAAAATAATTGTACTCGTTATGATTCCTTAGTGAATGTGTAATTTTATTTGCACTCTTAACGATTCTAGACTCGAACAAAGCCTTAATCGAGCATGAGCACATGGATCATATTTGTTCTTATTAACGTATCTAGAAGACACCTAGATAGAGCATGACTAACACTCATCAAGACTTAAATATCTATTGATAAGGACATTAAGTCCTACACGTTTTCGTAATGAAACGATATTATCCACTTATTGATTATGGTACCAATTTTTTTTTTATATTGTACAAAAACCCATCTCAAAACGTGGAAACACGTAACGCCTCGAGAGGATTGAATGAGTTGGTGTGTTTCCAAGTGAAGAGAAGAATCTTCTATTTTCTTCTCATTTGACCCCAAACTTGTCCATCAATTCATGATTTGTTTCAGATTTTTAAGGCTCCCTTGTCTTCACTTTCATGTCATCTTCTGCCCAAACCTGCAATATCCTCTTTTATGATCCCCAATCTCTCATCATATCTTCTAACCTTCTATTCAATCAACGCCATCATTTTTTTTTTCATCTCTCTTTGGACCCACCAACTCCTTTACCATTACTCAATCACGGTTGGTTTATGGTCGAGTACTTACAACTCAGAGACCAAACAATACTGATCGAAGAAAATTTGGATTATATAGTCGATTTGGCATCAACCCTAAAATCACCATAATCGAGATACGCCATGATAGTCGATACAAAGATTTGATCAAGGATAGTAAATTTATATTTGTTGATATGCTTTTGTGAAAATGTCGCCTCGTTATCCACACCTCTGACAAATGAATGAAGGACCGACCTAGATTTTCTACGTGGACCATCCTAAAGAAAGAGGTCAGCTAAGGTGTGGAACCCTTGTTTTTGAGTCTTTGATTTTATAATAAGCTAAAGAGGCTACATTTTTTCAAGCACGTTATTATGTCTTTAATATCATTTTGATTTTCGAACTTTTAGTAATATTTCATTTTAATCCCTGAACTTTTCAGATGTTCATTTTGATTCCTCAACTTTCGGGTTTATTGGTGTATAAGTTTATCTTAATGTTTTAGTTGGTTAGGATATATAATATATATATATATATACACTTAATGATGTATGAACATATATCAAAGTCAAAAGTTACGGAAAAGAATAGCACACGATACCATTAGTGGTGTCTAATCATACTAGTATTATTGCTAAGTCATCCACAATATTTAAACACTCCAAATTTGCTTAATTATCCTCAATATTGCTTAGTCACCCTACAAACCCAATTTAAAATTGAGATTCCTAATTAAAACGTGATAATGACCATGCTTGTCTAAGCCATGTTGCATGTGATCGCATATCGGATGTCCCAATCATGCTTGCTCGCATACCTGTTCCAAATCCCTTTACTTTCGCATCCACTGGAGCCGAGATGCCCCAGAATGCACTATAGAGAGATGTTAACATTTTCTCGCAAACGTGACTCGAGCCTCGATCATAAGTTCGAGTTGTCTACAAATTGGAATTTTCACACGATTGACTTGTTTATTGGGTTAGAACAAAATGTCACACAATCATTGTCCTGCTGCCATAAGAGTGAGATTATGACACTGAGCTACCCCATCTTTGCCCAAGCTAATAGAGTCTACTCTCCCGAGCTACTCAATATAAAGTTAGACTTGGATCTCGAGTTCAGTTTAAGCTCTATACTAAAAAATCAGAGCTAGCTAAACGGATGATATTTTAGTATATTATTCCCAATATACTCGTAAATGGTTGCTTTTGCAATACGCATCTCAAAATAATGATGTACAGCCATGTATGTAATATCAAACTTCAGTTCGTACAAAACTTTAGCTTATTTGGATTCTACAATATTGGAATAAAGAATAATAACATTAAATAAATAAAAAATTAAAAAATATTTTAAAACTTGTGAATGGTGCTGAAGAAATTCTGATTTGGGAATATATAAATTAGGGAAATAAGAATTTTTTTTTATTTGCCATCTGTTATGCTTTGATAATTCTAAATTTAAAAAAAAAAAAAAAAAAAAAAAAAAAAAAAAAAAAAAACTTTAAATTAAATATTATAATATAGTCTAATTCTTATTTTTATACGTTATTTATTTTATTTTTAGGACAATAATTTATATTTATTATAATGTCACATTTGTGGAAGAATTTAATAAAAATATTTAATGAATATGGTAAATATTTTATCTTAACTCTAAAAAGGATCCAATAATTAAGATCCTTAGTCATAATGTTGTCATTGACTATTTTGTTCTTTAAATTTTACTTTTTGTAATCTTGATCCCAATTTAAAATTATAAAATTATGGAACTTTATTAAATTTTGATTTTTATAATTTTAAATTAAATAGCTAATTTTCAAGATAAAATATAAATTTTAAAAGTATATTCTTAAACCGAGTTCATATATGATTAAATTTAATATAATTACTGTTAATAAATCAAGAATATATATAAAAAGCTAACAGGGTGGGGACATAGAATATATTCTCCGTCCCCGATAGATAATTTTTTCCATTCACACTCTGTTTCACTACACGAGGCGGGTCTCCCTAGAAAAAAAATACCCCTAATCCCAATGCAGCAACTCATTCAATCATAAACAGTTTTGAATGATAGAAAGAAGTGAGAAAACCTCTTTTCCGCTCGGATTTTTTCACTCCATTCGTTGCTTCTCTTTTTGTTACTTCTAAAGTTGCGGCTTCAAATGACAAATTTTCACTAACATATCTATAACATTAACCATATATTCATATATCAAATTAAAATCACTTACGGAATTACTCTAATTTCTATAAACTTGAGATATCAATGTTTTTGTCAACATGGTTAAGACGATGTACTATGATAGTACGAATGGTTCGAACATACACATGTTACCTTAATACGGTTAACATTAAGTTACTCGTCAATAATACACACAAAATGTTGTGTGGATGAGAAAATCTGAGAATGAGTAGGAGGGAATATATAAGGCCATATCTGACACAATTTTTGATAGAGAAACGTATGCAAAGGGATAAGTTTTTCTTTGTTAATCGCAAAACTTTGTCAGCTTGTTTGCTTGGTTTGGCTTTAGCATGGCCATGTTTTTTATGTGGGGCAACCAAAAGTTGTGTATCTTTTGAATATTAGGCTCAAAATGAGAGGCCTTTGCCCTTTGCCCTTTGCCCTTTGCCACTTTGACATTATCATCTCCTTTTCTCTTTCTATCTTTAGGTGTTTGTGTGTTGGCATTGTGGGTTCATACAACAAAGAAAACACCATCATTGCACTCACCATCATACACACACACACACACTCCCTACTCCCTACCCATTTCCCATGTCTATGTGTTGCAAGAAGAAGGGTTGGGATTTCTCGTGATCAAAAGGTAACATCCTTTTCTAGACTCCTAAAAATTTCTTACTATCAGTAAAAATATAGTTGTACGGTTGATTTGTATGTATAAACCTTACTATCAATGAAAAGATTTAATTTTTTTTGGGTAAAAAAAAAAGAAAAGAGGAAGAAGGGTAGACATTAGTGTAGGTGTGTGTGATGATGCCTCTTTTTGAGGACTCGAAATTTAATATGAAAGGTGAAGAGGATGGGTATGATTGAAGTGAAAAAGATAATCATTTTTCAATCAAATAAATGAAAAAAAAAAAGATCTAAAAAGGAGTGATATTAAAGCCATATTTTTTGGGTATCCCTCCATTTCATGCAAATGAGAGAAAGAGTATTGCCTGCATAAACCCTCCTTTTTACCTTTCTTTTAACATTTGAATTTCATATCAGCATAAGGGCCCCTTCCTCCATTCCCAATGCTCCAAATCCCAACCAAAATAATTAAAAAATATGAATGTACTATACATGTTCTGGGTCGTTCTTCGTTTTGTTCGATGTCATTCATTTTGAACATAATCTCTAATTAAAATAAAATTTAGAGTGAAATGATTATGGAGGAAAAGACAAAGAAAAGGCATGTGATTGTGTGCGCATCTTTTCACAAAATGATGAATTGCATAAAATAAATAATAACTATTATGAAAATTAAAGAATATGATAATGAAATTCTGAAGAGATTGTGGCGGCTGAGGCTTCCCACAAATCTCGCCTCCAATCACTCCTTCTAATCTAATTAGAAGAGAGAGAAAATCTTGAAAAAAAATGGTTAATTTAATTTTAGAATCATAATAAAAAATGAATTATGAAGAAATAATTAAAAATAGATCTCTGTTATTTACATCATAATAATAATAATAATAATAATAATAATAATAATAGTTACCAAGAAAATGAGGTGTTTCAATTATGTTTGATAATGGCGATGGTTAATTAACGACGATCTCTCTCTACTGTAATTTCATCAATTTTTCTCATTTTCTTTGATTTTTTTTTCAACTAATCAGATGAACATATCCATGGTTCCACCATACCTTCAGTTCTAGCTCTTAAATTCTCAGCAGCTTTATCGCCGTGAAATCCCGGTGAATTTGCAGTGCCGGCGGCGGCGTACCTGATTAATTTCCCGTTGAGATTTCCATTGCTAGATCTGAGATTAACACCTTGTTGATTTGGGTCTCCACCGCTGCCGCCGATAACCCAGCTCGTCGGTGGAGGGTGGTTGTTGTTGTCGCCTCTTACGGTTTGGCCGGTCGGGAGGAGGCCGTGGCTGTGGCTGCTTAAACCGAACTCCTCGAAAATACCCATTTTGAGATTTTGATCGTTGGATGAAGGGATCAATTTGGGGTTGGATTGAAACATGTTTTGGATGTCAAAAATTGGACTTTGTAAGTTGCCGCCGGCGAGGAAAGTCGATGACGGCGGAGAGAGATACGGCGGTTTTTGAGGAAATGGTCGCAAAAGGTAATTCTGTTGTGTAGATGGTACAACGTCCAAATTTGTTGATGATCTACCACCACCACCTCCGCCTCCGCCATCGCCACAGCCGCCGAACAAATCGAATCTCGCAGCGTTTCTTGTAAAAGGAGACGACGAGGAAGCGGTGAAGGGTGGAGCTGGAATTCCAGTGAATTCTTGAACCATGGCACGGAAATTAGTAGTGTCTGTTGTTAACACCGTTGTCGGAGCTCGTCGTGACGCCCTCGGCCGCTTCTTCGAGCTCCTAACTACGTTCGCACCACCACCACCACCACCACCACCACCACCACCACCACGGCCACAATTATTAGGAATATCTTGCAATTCTGTCTGATCCGAAGCTCGGAAGGAATTAATACCATCAGATGGGTGAGAAAAATTGTGTACGCCGGAGAAATTGGAGATAGATGATAAACTCTGATCGGCGGCGGCGGAATTAAGATTTGCGGCGTCGAGATCCGGCGGAATTTGATCGGATCTCAGAGACCGAGACCAAACCATATCGAAATTGAGAAGTGGGTTTTGGTTAGAAAGCGAAGATCTTGGATCAAATAAATTAGACAAAGGATCAAACATGGCCGCGGCGGCGGAGGAGGAGGAGGAGGATTGAGGAAGAGGGTTGGTTGGATGGAAGTTTCCGGTGAAAGAACCACCATGAGTTGGTGGATTAGTTAAAAAGACGGCGGTGATTGAGTCGGCGGGTGACTCAAACTCCTCATCGCCGCCACTAGACGACTGCATACTCCCACTATTTCCAGACTCCATGGAGAGAGACAGAAATTAAAAACCGATAACTGAAGGGTCCGAAGAAAGGCAATAAATAAACTCCTAATAAAGGCTTTTTTTTTTTTCTTTTTTCCTTTTTTTTTGAAAATAGAGAAAAGAAACCCAAATTACAAAATGGGTATTAATTAAAAATAAAAAATTTGTAATAATTCTTCATCTTCTTCTTCTTCTTCTTCTTCTTCTGGATTTTTTTGTCTCCAAATTTGAGGATTAGGGTTTTTTCTGTGTGTATGAGAGAGAGAGAGGAAGGTGTAGGCTTTTTGCTGGATTTAAGAGAGAGAAAAGATGAAAAAGGAAGAGAGTGGGGCAGCCATGGAAGAGCAGGAGAGAGAAAATGAGTTATGAATTGGTCAATCTACGAGATGTAAAGGGATTTTGATTCTCATTGTAAAAGCAACCAAATGATATAATCGAACATGGCTGAGTTGTTACATGCATACATACATACATACATACATACATACATACATGTTTATAAATGGTCACCGACTATAATGAAGTTCAAAGTACATCATTGAATTTAATGTTAACTAAATTATTAAAATATGATACGACACTTTAATTGGAATAAAACTCTCAATCAAAATTAACTTCCATTTTCGTCTCTGTATTTTAACATTTTTTATTTTAATTTCTTTCCCAAAATTAAAAAAAAAAAAAAAAAGTTTATTCCTTAAATTTAGTGTAAATATAGCAGGAATCGAACATTCAGCTTTAAGAAATGTAACAAATACCTATATATAATTAAATTTTAGTTATTTTTAATACATACATATGAATTTCACGATCGAAAGTGCATATAGCCATTAATTAAAAAAATAATAATTATTTGGTGGGCTAGCAACCAAGAAATTAAAAAATAAAATTAATAATAAATTAGGGTAGATGGTAGTTGAATACTATCCTATAAAGCTATTGAGATGATGACCATAACCTTCGTCACTATTACTTCTCCTTCCACTAACTCAATTTAAATGCCAAACATATCCCCTAATTATTTATTTATTTAATTAAAATGCCAAACAATTTCTTTTCAAGATTAGGTTAATGATAGCCCACCCATAGCAACTTTATTTTTATTGCCATTTATTACCAAAATTAAAATTATATTTACATGTTCGTTGGGTCGTCCTAACAATTCTCCAAATAGATATCATATCGTTGGCTTAAATAGTCATTGCGCTCATACTAACTTAAATCGTGGGGATTGACTGAGTCAGAACAAAAAATATTATAAATCTCTCATATCAATTGATCTAAATCTTCGATTTACTGTAACCATCTAAGAACAACTAAGAAAGAAATAAGATGTCAGGGTTTGTGTTTAGATCTAACAAGCTATCTACCCACTACCAAACCAAACCCTATACCTACCATTCTCTACACATTTCATCCCGAACTTATTCTAACTTACCTTTGATTTCTACCTTCTATTTCGGTTTGTGTTTTATTTTTAAAAAATGTTTATTTAAGCTCGAGAGAAACTGACTATGTCTAAACTGATTTTTCAGTAGTTGTTTAAAAACTCTCTGTTAGTGCTTCAAATACATTCTTTTTAAATATTTGAAAGTGGGATCAATTCATTCATGTACTATTTCTATACACGAGTATCAATTGTCTACTGGCTTTCACCTTGGTTCATCGTGTACCACATTGTACTAAGAGATGTTTCGTTATGATATTATTTATAATGTCCCATCATTTTATACTTAAACAAATGGGCCACTATTAAAAATTAAAATATAAGATCACTTTATATACGAAAGTTCGAGACCCACGAAAAAGATATTAAACACATAATTTGTTAATTAATCATAACTTGATTATCAAAATATAATTAAAAGGTTTCTAGAACCTTTCATGTTCATAATTCTAATACGTCGTTATCACAAGCCATATAAGTTCATTGTAGTAAAAATGAATATGAAAATACTCGGTAACATCTAATATTTTGGATATATTTTGACGGGTGAATTATTTCAAATTGATAATTATAATTATATTTTAATGGTTTAGTTGACTTTACTAAGGTACTTTGAGAGTTGACTTTGACTAATGTTTGAAGACATGACATGTTTGAAAGGAGAGGAGAGTTGTGTAGTGACACTAGTGAGTTTTGTGATAATTATGGAAGTTTGGCCTTTAGTATATAATAATAGTGGACCATAAATAGTTTGGCCTTTAGTATATTTTCAGAAATTTTCAAATTGTTTTGAGAATTCGGATTTTGACACCCGATGTCCTCGACAATTCCTTGTATGCTCTATGTACGACATAATTATCTCTACGGATCAATACGAGTCATTCCAGTATGTTTTATTTTCACTCACATGCATCTTAAAAAAATGCACGTTTAACTATAGAGTTCTTATAATTGAGACATCGAAAAAGAAGGCGTATCTTGTTAATATAGATAGTAACTTTTTAGTCATTCTATTCTTAGAATCGTCGATTGAATTTAAGCTTACCACTTAACTCGATAAGCAAAATTTTATTTCTAGATAATCATGTTGATGAAATGTTAGTTCGAAACAAAAGAAAAACACAAAGTAATGTTGAAAAAAATGGCATAGAAGGTGGTATCAATCCATTCCCAAGTTCACAAATTCAAACCAAATAAAGTGAGAAAGAAGAAGAGAATATATTAAAACTTTCAAGAACAACTTCATTTCACTTAAACGACTAAGAAATTAGATCTTTAAATTCATAATTTCAATGCTCCAATTGATTGTTAGATTCCCCAAGAACCCATATGAAAAATCCCCAACATACATTGAAAAAAGACATGAATTGACACATCATTCTTGGACGAAATCATTGTCGATGCTTGAATTTATTGAAAGATCTTAGTAGCTCCCTTCACAAATGTCCAAAAAGCTCAAAGTGTTTGGATAAAGCCCTCCAACAAAAACATATACCTTGACAATCAAGTTCCATTTTTTTGGTATCATCATTACACTTTGGAAAACAAGATTGCTTTGGGCAATGAACAAACTTTTCAAATTTTTCTTTCTTTTTTGGTCTTTTTTTTACCCATATTATCATGTTCTTGATTCTAAAAGTTAAAGTTTTTAGGGCACATTTTGTTTAAACAATAACCCTAAACACCAAGGGAGGCAATGGAGGCAATGGTGTATATATTATTCTCCAAACTTTACATGTTTTCAAGGCATAGTTTCACTTTAATCATATCAATGATAAGTCACTTCCTTTGGACTCAATACCACAATATCATGCCATCTTTTTTGTTTACAATACCACCTTTATATTGGGTCATACATGTCGTTTTCATTACACTTTTTTTTGCTCTTCTTTTTCCATCCTTTTGACTCTTATCTCCCCCATGCTTCAACTCATCAATCATCGCTCCTATCTTAAGTCAAAATACCCATTACTTAATTAACCATTTACTCGTTTTTGTAACAATTAAGTACCTCGTAATGATTTAATATCACTATGTTGTTGAAGAATGTCGGGTCATCAGGTATTTAATCTGAACTTCAAATTCTGAATATGGGTCGTTATAGAAAACCGAATCTCTTCCATTCTCGATTTCATCGTAAGTTTTCTCTCTCTAAATAATTTTATTATTTATTTTTGTAAGAAGGTGTAATCTAATACAATTTCTTTGTAAAAAACGTGTTTCTCAATTAAAAAATATATAAATATGATGAAAAAAGTGTAATAAAATTATGAAAAAAATGAAAGAGTGATGGTGAGTTTGAGATGATATTGAATTTGGAAAGCAATTATTTGTGATTGGGAAGTGTGATCGGTTAACGTAGTTGAACCAACAAAAATTAAAAAAGCAACCAAGTAAGCCAAAAACTTTAGCTCAACAACATTCACATAAGACAAAGTGGTGAGCCCTATCTTGTCCCCATCTTCGACCTTGTTAAATTTGACTGACGCTTCATCAAATGATAGATACATGAATGAATCGAGATCATATTTAAGTGAGAGCGATTTTGAAAATACAATAACTTAAAATAACTAATCTTTTTAGTGGCTCAATCAGAGAACTCTAAATTTAAATGTGTTTTACTTTGAACAATTCTATGTTTAGTGACCTCTAAAAAAAAATTTCTAAGAAATATGTGAGTATGAATAAAACATGCTAAAAAAACTCGGGTTGGTCTATGAGAATAGCCTACACTCTAAGAAAAAAATGAATAAGTAACATGATCGTGTCGTAGAGAATTTAAGAAAATATTATACTCATCAAATGTTTATAATCTTAATTTCGAATCATGAGCGTCATACTTTATTTAATTAAACATTTACGTATCTATCAATATCACGTTACAAATTTATTAATTTGATGTTAACATTATAGGGAAAATGACAAATATGCCCTTCCAACTAAAAGATGAGAGACATAATGATTGTACGGATTAAGGGACAGAGAAAAATTAAAAGATCTGTAAAATAAGATAAAATCCAAACAAATGAACCCAACGTGCTCCAATTCAAATAATAATAATAATAATAAAATCACATATTTGAAAATAAAATAAAATCTAAAATATATCCATTTTTAACCGTTGGAATTCCCTTACATTTTTTTTTTATCTTTACTATTTCTTTTTTTTTTACCATTTTACCTTTTTTTTTTTTTTTTTTTTTTTTTT